TGAATAAATAAACAAAATCTTTTTAAAAACCACCCCAAACCAAAAAACAACTCTCTGCCTTGCTGCTGGCAACTACCATTCTCCCTTCTACCTGTATAAATGTGACTACTCTAGGTACCATACATAAGTAGAATCATGCGGCATTTTCTTTTTGTGGCTGGTTTATTTCACCAAGCATGATTTTTTCTTTCTTTCTTTCTTTTAAAGATTTATTTATTCATGAGAGACACAGAGACACAGGCAGAGGGAGAAGCAGGCTCCATGCAGGGAGCCTGATGTGGGACTTGATCCCAGGGCTCCAGGATCACACTCTGGGCCGAAGGCAGGCATTCAACCTCTGAGCTACTCAGGGATCTCCAAGCATGATGTTTTCAAGTTTCATCCAAGCTATAGCATATCTAAGAATTTCCTTCCTTTTTAAGGCTGGATAATATTCCATTGTATGGAATATCCACCACACTATGTTTATCCATGCATTCACCGGTGGGCACTTACATCATTTCCACCTTTTGGCTATTGTGAATAACATTGCCATGAGGCCAACCACTTAAAAACAAAAAAAAACCATGTAAAACTCATTTAATTCTCACAATAGCCCCATGTGGAAGGTACTGCTTTTAATCCTCATTTTACAGGTGGGGAAACTGAGAGAAGTTAAAAGATTTGCTCAAATCACACAACTACAAAAGAAGCTGAGCCAGGCTTCTGCATCCAGGCAGTGTAGCCCAAAAGCCTGAGAGTCTCCCCTGCAGCTCACACCATCACCTTGTAGAGTGCCAGGAGAGCGTGGAGCTGGGCCTGGGGGAATTCCTGGAAGTGACCATTGAGCTGGGTTTTAAGAGTGAGTTGTTCACTAACGTTTAATGGAGAGGAGAAGGCCTAGCCATTTCTGGCAGAGGGAAAAACTTGTGTGATGTGACTAATAATACAGGGGCCCAGGCCCACTTCGCAGGCATGGCCCCTGTGGTCCTGCAGTGGATCAGATAAGACAAGACGCAGGCTGCTGGCTATAGATTCTCAGGAGATTTCCCACTCTCCACGCCTCTACCCGATCGTATTATGGGAATCAAGTACCATCTTAGGCCAAGCCAGACTTGGAGAGAAGCTTCCACAAAGACTCTATAGCTTCCTAAAGCATATCAACTTCCCCAATATCCTCCCTCCCCAAGATTGTAACACCCCACATCCTGGTGGAGGTGGTGGGTGGAGTGGGAGACAGGGAAGAAAAGACACAGTGATGAGATCTGTGGCTGTTGTCATTTGTGCCCTTAAATGCAGACCCTAGATCTTGCCCTAGTGCCTTCAGGGCAAAAGGAGATCCCCAGTCTCTATCGGAGAACTGACAAGTCCAGCCATCTTGCTACTCCATGCTAATTTCAAAACCTCCAAATCTCTTTTCCCTCCGGAGCTCTGAAAAAGCCCAAGGTCAAGAGAAACAGTTATTTACCACAGGCATTTAAATTTGCTTATCTAGGAAGGAAGGAACAAAGTTTGGACATTCTGGTTATCTCAGCTTAAATCAGCTTAAATGTCAGCATAGAGGCCACGGGAGAGTTTCCGTAGGCTATTGTCATCCCTAATAGGAAATGGCATTGAGATTTTAAGTTGTGCACAGGCATGGAAGCGAGATTGGCCCAGGTATGTTTGGGGATCGAGGTCTGCAGGGTATGGGCCTCTGAGCAACATTGGGTGTGTTGTGTGTACAGTAAGTGCTTGAGGTGGAGAGGGTGCCATGATTTGAGATCCCAAAAGAAAGGACCGGGGGTGTAGAAATATGCCATTTTGAAAGGAAACATCAGTGTGCCAAAGACTGTTCGTTGTCCTCCCGGGTCCATTGTAGCCATCCTTCCTTTCATAGTAATAGAATTTTTTAGCTGGGCACATGGCTGCCAAATCAAAACTACATTTCCCAGCCTCCTTTGCAGCTGAGTGTGACCAAGCAAGGGAGTTCTGATCATAGGGATGTAAGTGGAGTGTTCTGTGTCAGCTTCTGGAAACCTTCAAGATGTGGTACATATGGACTCTTTGCTTTTTCTTCTTCATCCTTTATCTTGCTACCTGGAACATGGATGCTTCCATCGTGGTCAAGGCCATACAATGATGGAGAAACAAGAGAGAAAGAAATGGGGGAACCCAATATTGTGTGGCACTGTGTGAGTCCTGGATTTCTATAAGAGACAAGCGAAATTGGATTTTGTTAAAGTCACTGATGTTGTTGTTCTTCTTATCATTTTGGCAGGAATACCATTTCTGTGGTATTGTCTCTTTCAGTGCATGAGGAGGGACATGATGTTGATCTGTCCCATTGTTGGTGATGGTGACTCTGATCACTTGGGTGAATGTCATAGGGGCCAACTTTCTGTATTCTAAAGTGACAATTTTTTCCCATTCATAGAGGTGCTTTGAGATTATATAACTGTCCTGTTCTCATAAAACTTTGACCCACTAGTTTAAGCATCCATTGATGATTCCTGCGTGAATGAATGATTATTATGCTAGTTGTCAAATGGTTATTTGCCAATTCCAACATTCTTTCTATGTTTATTAGTTGACATTCAAATATGAGGAGGAACTTCCTTCCTTCCTTCCTTCCTTCCTTCCTTCCTTCCTTCCTTCCTCCCTCCCTCCCTCCCTCCCTCCCTCCCTCTGCCTGGATGGCCCTGTTGCACAGACCTGCACAGATGGCAAGACCCATCACCCTGGGAGTCAGGAGGTCTCATGTGCTTTGGGCTGAATGAAAGGCCAAATCTCACCATGGTTGTGGCTGTTGCACTTCATCTTGCTGGGGCCTGGCTGAGGCTGGGTCTTTCTTCCATCTCCAATCTCACATTAGTGGCCATGTGAAGTAGAGATTGGGAGGTGGCCAATGAGGTGGGGCTGTGTAGAGAGTTAGAAGAGGAACTGCTCCTTCATGTTGTCAAGGACAATAACCTGGAATGGAATCCCCGTCCTGACCTCTGGGAGTGGTGGCCAGATGGCTGGGAAGGACTGAGGGTCACGTCATTAGAAGGACTCTCACAATGTCCTTCCAACCCAGCTGGTCTAGACATGTTACACCTGGTCAGATCCATGCTCCCACCTCTGTTCTCTGGAGCCCGCTGACCCAGGTAAATGCCCAGTCCTGTCCTGCTCTCAAGGAGCCGAGGTTGGAAGGGGATCCATTCAGTCAGTCCCAACCTGGAGCATCTTGGAGGAGGCAGCATATGAACCACAACTCTCACAACATAATGCAGCAGGCCTGTTCTAAGGCCTATACCATGCTAGCTGGACCCTGCTCCAGAGCCCCCTGGGGCACCAGGAAGAAGCCAAGGACCCCATAAACTCCTGTGGTCAGACTCACACAAATGACACAAACTCAGATCCCTAGAGCCACTGCTGAACAGAGATGCGTATGATTTTACACATGCACGTGTGTGTATGCACACACGTCACAGAACCCTGTGTTGAGACAAAGCCATCTAAATTGTCCCTCTGTTCCCCTTTCCTCCCTCCCTTCCTTTGGACCTCAGGGGCATAGAATTAATTAATAATATGCCTTGGTTCATGACATCCTCCTCAAATCAGTCCCTGCAAGGCCATCTTTTATTAAACTAATGCATTGATAGAAACGCTGTAACAAATGCCTAAGAAACAAATGCCCTAGTGACATCTAGAACATTGAAATTACTTATATTTACCCATGTGGTTCTCCCCTACCCTGTGCTCTATCCTCCCCCTTCTGAATCATGCGGTCTTTGTTCCCTTGCTCTTTTTTTTTTTAAGATTTTATTTATTTATTCATGGGAGACACACACACACAGAGAGAGAGAGAGAGAGAGAGAGAGAGAGAGAGAGAGAGAGAGGCAGAGACACAGGCAGAGGGAGAAGCAGGCTCCATGCAGGGAGCCCGAGGCAGGACTCGATCCTGGGTCTCCAGGATCAGGCCCTGGGCTGAAGGCAGCGCTAAACCACTGAGCCACCGGGCTGCCCCCTTGCACTTTTTTTTTTTATTTAAAAAAAAAAAAAAAAGCTTTACCGGAAAGCATTATATCTTATATCCCTACAAGTTCTGATTTTCTGGTTGAAGTTGTTTTACGTTTACGCGAAGATATGCTGCATGTAGTCTTTTGGGAATTAACTTTTCCCACTCACAGTTCCATTGCTGAAAGCTCAGCGAGTTAACTTAGGGGAAGAGATTACAGCTGATCACCGTGAGGCCGATGCTCTTGGTGGCTAATGCCAGTTTCGTGCTAGTCTGTGGCATGGAGAAATTCTATTTGCTGGGTACTCTATAGCTTTGATTTACTCAGCAGCTCCATTTTACGCCACTCGGAAAGCCTATTTTTCTTTTCTTTTTTTTTTTAAGATTTTATTTATTCATTCATAGAGACACGGAGAGAGAGAGGCAGAGACACAGGCAGAGGGAGGAGCAGGCTCCACGCAGGGGGGCCGACGCGGGACTCGATCCCGGGTCTCCAGGATCACGCCCCGGGCTGCAGGCGGCGCTAAACCGCTGCGCCCTGGGGCTATCCCCAAAGCCTATTCTTCTTTGGGAATGCTTATGGATATTTATGATGATTGGGTCCTTACTTCCAGGACACCTGCATAAGCCGCTTGGTGCTCAATTACTGGCAGTGTCATTATGGGACAGCAGGCACTAAGCGGGTGAGGCCCTTGTCCTTTGATTTCTGCACGGAGCTCACAGGGACCTGGGCCTCCCCGCCCCGCCCAGTGCAGGCCGCCCAGGTCCCCGGGCCTCAGTGGGCGCAGGAGCCAGCTGTGGGGGGTCCTCGCGGGCGGGGGCAGGCCGCCTCCCCGCTCCCCGCTCCCCGCCGCCGGCCATCAGGGGCGCGCGCCGAGCGGAGCCCCGTGCGGGGCCGGGAGCGGAGCCGCGCAGGACGCTCCTCCCCGTGCGCCCGCCCTCCCAGCCCGCGGGCTCCGGGCAAGGGGAGGAGCGCTCCCGGCTCCGGGGACACGGTCGCCACGGCAACGCGGCCCGCCCCGCCCCGCCCCAACGGACCCGGGCCCGGGCTGCGGCGTCCGGCCTCGTCGGCAGAGCCGGCGGCATGGACAGGCTCTTCGTGGAGGAGGTGGCCGCCTCGCTGGTCCGGGAGTTCCTCAGCAGGAAGGTAGGTCGCGCCGCCGGCGCCGCTCGGGGCCGCTGCCCCAGGGAGGGGGCGCCGGGCCCGCAGCTTCGCGCGGGGGGAGCCGCCGCCGCCGCCGCCGCCGCCGCCGCCCGGCCCGGGATGCCCGACGGGAGCGCCTCTAGCCTGGGGCCGGCCGAAACTACATTTCCCAGGAGGCATCGCGGGCCCCGCGCAGCGCCCGCCGGCCCCGCCGCCCGCCCCGCCGCCCCGCGCTGGCCCCCCATCCCGCCTCTGCGCGGGGGCGGGGCGCGGGCCTCCCTCCCCCGGGGGCACAGCCGCCGCCTCGTCGCGGCCGGGACCGGCCTCCCGCCTCCCGGGTCGTCGAGCCCTTGAGTCGTGCGTGGTCCCCGGCGGCGGCGGGAGCTCAGAGGCTGCAGGCCGTGGCGGGTTGCAGCTTGCCCCGGGCCGCCCCGGGAGAGTTTTCCCGGAGGCCCTTAAGCATCATCATCTGCAGCGGAGGTGGGGACTCCGTGGGAGACAAGAGGTCGCTGCAGGTGCCTGCGGAAGCCTCTGCCGCCTTCTGACCCCTTCTCCAGGGCTCGGCACTGGGTGGCTCAGTTGGTTAAGCATCTGCCTTCAGCTGGGGTCGTGACCCCAGGGAGCTGGGATTGAGCCTCCGCACTGGGCCCCCTGCTCACTTGAGCAGGGGCCCTGGGCTGGTGTCTGGATTAAACATACACACGAGCAAAATCATTTTTTTTTGAGGGGGGGGGTGCGGAAAAGGGGAAGGACCTTGGAATCGGGTGGAGCGGTTCAAATACCGGCAACCAGTTAGCAGAGTGTGAGCCTGCGTGCGTCACACTGCCTCAGTTTCCTTATTTGTAAAACAGGATTGATAAGACCCACCGTTTGCAGATTTATGATGAGGATTAATAATAATATATGGGCAGTCCCCAAGCATTGTATCTGGCACCTAGTAGGTACCTGTAGTCAGCGTTGTCTTCACCTCTCGCCCCTCTCGTGCATCTGTTTTGAAAGTGTCTTTCTTTGCTTCTTAATAATGTTTTCTTTAATTTAAAAGTTATTATTATCATTTTAACAAAGATTTTATTCACTTATTCATGAGAGAGAGACAGAGAGAGGCAGAGACATAAGCAGAGGGAGAAGCAGGATCCATGCAGGAAGCCTGATTTGGGACTCAATCCGCAACCCGGGATCACACCCTGAGCAGATGCTGAGCTGCTGAGCTGCCCAGGCGTCCCTAAAAAGGTTATTTTTTCAAAAAGGTTTTATTTATTTATTTGATAGGGCACGAGCATGAGGAGTGGCAGGGAGAGGGAGAAGCAGACTCCTCACTGAGCAGGGGGGCCCAGTGCGGAGGCTCAATCCCAGCTCCCTGGGGTTGTGACCCCAGCTGAAGACAGATGCTTAACCAACTGAGCCACTCAGTGCCTTTATTTATTTATTTATTTATTTATTTATATTATTTATTTATTTATTCATGAGAGACAGAGAGAGAAAGGCAGAGACACAGGCAGAGGGAGAAGCAGGCTCCATACAGGGAGCCTGACATGAGACTCGATCCCGGGACTCCAGGATCATGCCCTGGGCTGAAGGCAGGCACCAAACCGCTGAGCCACCCAGGGATCCCCAGTGCCTCTATTAAAAAAAAAAATTAAATGCAATGTGGCTTCATTGTATCTGCTCTGTGTTTCAGGCTAGTTGACCTTCCATCACCAAGTCTTGGCTGCACATCTGATGTCAGTGACACGCCCTGCGAGGCTGCCCACTATCATTTCTTTGAAGCCTGGGTCACCAAGCAAAACTCTGTTTTCCTCTTGCCTTTCCTTTCTTAAGAGTACAAATGAAACCCAAAGTCCTCCCCAGATACCTAAGGCTCCACTATAGCTCCACCCCAGTGTACCACCCCAGTGTGGGTTCCAGCTTCTCCCACATGCTTTCGCCTGTTCTACCCACAGCCTACCCCAGGTCTGTTTCCTTCAGGAAGTCTTCTTGGATAACTTCCATCGGAATAACTGACTTACCTTGTCTGTGGCTTGCTCACTGGTGCTCACATTATAATTTATATGTCTGCCTGTCCCGCCCAGTCCGCAGAGCTGACACCCGATCTGGGTGGAGCCTTGGCCGTGTCTGGTTCAGCCAGCCCTTCTCCCTCCCATTTTTCATCTGGGCACACTAAAGCCCTGACCTGACCAAGGAGTTGCCCACAGTCACTCAGAAAGTTGTGGAGAGGTGGGACTGCCATGTAGACCAGCTGTGCTTTCCTTGTCAGCTTCTTTCTGCTCTGGTGCAGAGACCACGTACTCCCCTCAGGGCTTGGCACGAGGCCGGTATAACCTAGAAAGTTCCCATCATGGTGTGAGGTGCCTTCTGGTTGCCTGTTTGTTTTCTCAGATCCTCGTAACAGGCCTGAAAGACAGGAATACTTACTCCGTTTCATGTAAGACGATCATGAGGCTAGGGGGCAAAGAAACTTGCCCACGGTGAGCAAGTTAGATCTTGTCACACCTCGACTCAAAACCCTCTATGAGCTTCCTGCTACAAGCAGCATAAAATCCAAGGGAAGGCGTCACCGCCTCACCTGGGCTACGAGGCTCTCTTTGACCCTGTGCAGGCGGTCCCTCCGACCTCACCTGCCACAACTGCCTCCTCTGCCCTCTACCCTACATCGTACCCAGCTACGCTGGCCCCCTTCTAAGTGTGGGCTGCCCTCGGAGAGTCATGAACATCTCCTGCAATGTCAGGGTGCTCCAGGGTGACTCTTCTTGTGCCCCAGCCTCCCTCTCCTGCAGTCACTTGTTCCCATCCTACTTATGCCACCTTTCCAAGCGGGCATGTCCTGGGCCTGTGGTCACCAGTACCCTTCCTGTAATCTGTGCAAGCAGTCTGTCATCCTCACTTGCAGCTCGCCTCCTTAGCAGCCTGCCCGTCATAAACTGTTCTTCAGTCTCACTCACATCTGCATTCCATAGTTCCTGCCAACTTTTCTAGGGGCCCTCCAGTCCTGTTGTGACCTCTACCCACTTCTTACCCTCCTGTCGTTATAATCACACCTTCCAACAACATGCTCACCTCCCTTGCCCTTCACTTCTTTCATCATGTTCCCTCCGCCAACCCCCCAGCCCTCCGAGTTTTCAGATTCCCTTTGGCCTCCTCCATGCCTGCCCCTGCAGTGCCCAACGGAGCTGGAGAGAAACACAGCAGCATGTGGATGGTTTCAGGCCCCCCAGCCCCCTGAGGCCTCAGGCATGGCTGCCCTCCTGGTGAGAGCTCCCCAGTCTGCCCCCTCTCTCCGCTCTGGGATGGCTGTTTCACACCTGCCCTCTCATCTAAGCCCACACAACAACTTCCCTGTTCTCATCGCACCAAGAAAACATGCAGTTTTGAGAACCTCCCCCAGCACACACACACACAGGCTGTACCACTCCAGTTATGAACCTTCCTGGGCCTGGACCTTCCCTCTGCCTCCCTGCTGCTCTTACCAGGTTATTCTCCATGCTCCTGGGAAAGGTCAGCCCCTCCCTGCGTGCCATCCCCTCTTGCCTGCGTGAGGGCACAGCAGCAGTTCTCTCTCTCCGTTGCATATATATTTTGTCTTCTCTACTGTCGTTCCTACAGAACCCCCTCTTGATTCCCAGGTCCCTCCAGCTACTGGGTCATTTTTCTTCTCCCTCTTACAGCCAAACCCCATGAAAGAACTATGTGTGCTCTGATCCTCATCCTTCCTGCTTGCTCAAGCCTGCTCCAATCAGGCTTCTGTCCCCACTGATCCATGGAAGCAACTCTTGTCAAGTTTATCAATGACCTTTAACTTACAGTTCCCACACTTCTTGATCTAACACTGTGTTTGGCACAGCTGTTTTGTGCCCTTCTTTCTGGAAACTCATTCCACTTGGCTTCTGGAGGCCACCTTCTGCGTTGTGTCCTCTAACCTCTCGGGGTGTTTGCTGGTCCCCCTCATTTCCTGGAGCTGTGCCGGGGGACTCAAAGACTCAGTGTTTTCTTCTCTTCTTCACTCATTTTCCAGGTGCCTCCTCCAGCCTCCTGGATTCCAGGGCCATCAACATGATGACAATTCCCAAATGCCTGTCTGGCCAAGATCTCTCCCCGAACTCTTACATTCTTACCAACTGCCAATTTTACATTTTCCGTTGGATATACAATGAATATCTTAACATGTCCAAAACCCAATTCTTGATCCCCTCTGTGTCTTGCAGCTTTTCCCATTTTGATAGGCAGTGTCACCATCTTTCTGGTCACTTGGCCCGAAAGCTTTGCAGTCGTTCCTGGCTTTTCTCCCTCTTGTATACCCCACATCCAGTCCGTTAGTACATCTGTTGGCTTTACCACCAGAGCATATACAGCATGCAGCCACCTCTTTCTACTTGTGCTGCAACTGCCCTAGTCCAAGCCACCTCTGTCTTTCATGTGAGTTGTCCCACAGCATCCTAACTAGTTTCTGCTTAAATCCTTGCCTCCAAAAATCTGTTCCCAACCTAGCAGCCAGTGATCCTTTACAAATACAAGCTCCTGTTTTCACCCTGCCCTTACCTGCCCCCCCCCCCCCCAAGATTTCACTGAAGTCAACAAGGCCTTTCCTTTTCAGGCTCTAGGCAACCTCTCTGACCTCATTTCCTGCCATTTCCCCCTGGCCACGTGGCTCTAGCTGCACTGGCCTCAGGGCCTTTGTACTTGCTTTTTCTTGCCATGAACACACTTCCCTGAACTGTCTGCATGGCCTGTTCCCCTACTTCCCTCACATCCCTGCTCTAATGTCACCTAATCACGAAATCTTTCCTGATTTTTGTAAAGTATCAAACCTCCTTGCACCCCCTCCTGGTCCTTTCTGTTTCCTGCTCTGCTACACTTCTTTTCCCCACAGCATATTAGAGTTGTTGGCTTTTCCCCATAGAATGTAAGCTCCGTGAGGGCTAGGACTTTGATCTGTTTACTCCTCTGCCTCCAGCAGCTGAACTAGTAGACTAGTGGTTCATTCCCTTCATTTGACAGATGGGAAAACTGGAAGACAGGAGTGAGCCTGCAGATGATGCTCAATAAGTAGCTGACTAACAGTGTTCTTCTCTGTGTCTCTGCTCTCATTTTATTTGTCTGCATAGTAGTGCACGTTAGCAGCTGCCTGCTGCACATTTACCCCTGTTTGTGGTCCACTTCCCCAACAGAATGTCAGCTCTGTGAAGGGGTGAGGTTTGTCTTATTCCATTGGTATCTCCTGAATCTAGAACAGCCTGTCGCATCGTAGGTACATGGGAAATGTTTGTTGAGTGGTAAAGATTAAGCGGACCTGGATGGGACTGAGGACTGGCTGATTCCTGAGGGATCCTTGTCCACTCCCGCAGTGGCTTCCAAATGTCAGTGTGTACCACCATCCTGGGAAGTTTGTTAAGTGTGCCAAGACTTGCTGATCTGAACTGCTGACAGACATAAAGAGTTATTCAGCAGAGGGGGACTCTCATGGTTTCTGCCTCGCTCTCATTGGCTGGAAAGCCATGGGGAAACCCAGATGCAATGTAGGTGCTTGCTGTGACCTCCTCCCTCTAACTCCCAGTTCATTCTCCTTAGGGCACCCAGGTATGCCTCTGCCTTTCCCCCAACATGCACACCCATTTCTTTCTGTTCCTCCTCCCTAAGACTTCCTTTTTATTCTCTTTGTTTCAAGGTTGTGTTCATATCTCTTTTTTTTCACAAATTCTGCTTCCCTCAGTTAATGACAGGAAGCAGGTTTTGTCTTGTTTTCCCATCAGTGGGAGTCTCTGTAAGATTGTGAACACAAAACCTGGGTGAGATGTTGAGGCCTGACTAGCACGAGGGGCTGGATCCACGAAGAGCAAAAGGCTCCCTTAGCACCAGGCTGAGCTGTTTGTGAGGTATCTCTTCCTCCTCTGTGTTGGGTGATCACCATGGTCCAGTGGGGTGGGCAGGCCCCAGCTTCTGTGGTTAATTTTTGGATGAAGAAGCCAGGCTTATAGTAGGGAATAGCACTTGCCATTGCTGGAGTGTCTTCATTGGGCCTTTTGGGAGGTGAGGACTGGATGATGGCAAGTGGCTTCACTGGGACCTCAGCAAACGCTTACCACGTGCTTCCAGGGGCTTCAGTCCTGGCATTGCTGACTCACAGGCTGGGATGGTCAGAGCCCCCTGCTCTGTGATTCTCCTGTGTTACGTGGGCAGATCAGTCCTTGCTCTTACCCGAGAAAAGAAAGGAATTGTTATCGACCTTTTGCTTATTTTTTTCCTTTTATTTATTTTTAAAGCTTCATATTCTGTGGCTCCAAATCTAGTGCAAACCCAGGGCTCCAGCCTTAGGTGAATCAGTTAGTTACCTGAACCTCACTTTCATTTTCTATAAAATGGGCCAATAGCTCCAACCTTAACTCGGGCCATGGAGTTATTTTAAGATTCAGAACAATAATAATAGTGAAGATGTCAAGTGTAAAGCTTATATAAAAATAAACTCCTTTTTTTTAAAAAAAAACATTTTATGTATTTATTTTAGAGAGAGAGTGAGAGCCAGAGAGATCACAGAGGGAGAGGAAGAAGCAAGCTCCCCACTTAGCAGGGAGCCCGAGGCGGCGCTCGATCCCAGGACCCTGAGATCAACCCTCTGAGCCACCCAGGCACCCTTCACTTCTTTTTTAAATGATTTTATTTATTTATTTGACAGAGCACAAGCAAGGGGAGGAAAGGGAGAAGCAGACTCCCCACTGAGCAGGGAGCCCGATGAGAGACTCGATCCCAGGACCCGGGGATCGTGACCCCAGCCAAAGGTGGCCCCTTAACCGACTGAGCCATCCAGGCGCCTAAAAATAAATTCTTAAGTCAGTTTTTGGTCCTTGTAATTTCCTTGCAAGGAAGGCAGGATAGGCAGGATAGGAATGATCAAAATGAGCATCAACAGTCTTTTATTTATAACCTACATCAGAGAACGGAAGGTTTTGATTAAAATGAAAATAATGATTCAGATTTCTTCCTGCAGGGCTTAAAGAAGACATGTGTGACCATGGACCAGGAACGCCCACGCTCTGACCTCAGCATAAACAGCAGAAATGATCTCCGCAAGGTTTTGCATCTTGAATTTCTCTACAAGGAGAACAAGGTACGTGCTTTTTAAGGTGTGGTGTAATGTTCTGGAACTGAGCTTGGCAATGTCAGAGCACTGGCGGGGCCCTGCCAAGCTGTCGGAGACGGTGGTGGCAGGAGGCTTGCCGTGCCTGCGGCCAGGGGAGCAGCGGACCCGGCCAAGTGCTGACAAATCCCCAGTGTGAGTTGGGTTTCCAGCCTCATGGAGGCCCTAGGCTGCCCCCCGGGGGCCTGTTGCGCATGTGTGGCAGGAAGCTCACCTTGAACCCGGGCCCTTGACAGTTACTCCCTGTGCCCCCTCCTCCCCTAGGAGGCTGTTTTTAGCCAGACCGTACTTAGGAATATCATATTCGGTTATACTAAAATTTTCCATTCCCTGCCCATGTAAGATTTTCCTTCTTCAAATCTGAGTAATAGCTTATTTTTAAGTCTACTGTGACATTTAATTTAGGCAGAAACGGGGCTTGGGCTCAGCTAACCCTGGTGCCTTGGAATTGGGGAGGGTGGGGGGCTTCCCTGATCCCCCAGCCCCACCACCTCCCCCCAACCCTGTAGTTGTCCTTTGTGGTGCTCAGCACACTTATACTAGAGTATGTATGTGTGGTTGTTTAATTACCGTCTGCCTCCCCACCACTTTGCATGCAGCAGGAGGCCCGAGACTGGCGTCTCTTTTGCTCACCGTTGTGTCCGTGTACTTAGCCTGTTGCCCAAGGACATAGAGAATAGTCTCTATATGTGTTTGTGGATTATATCATTGGCCGACTCTCTGAATGAAGCTACCGTTCTGGCTTAATTGTTTTTTTCTGCCACAAAGACAGAATCTTCTAATCTGACCGAGGAATGGGCTCTCCAGCAGATGTGGCCTTGTGGTAGGGCATTGTGGTAGAGTGGGAAAGAACCTAATGGTCAGGTAGTTTAGCATTTATCGTCATTTTTTAAAAAGGCAATACAATGACATATCCTGCGATGTCCACATGTATGAAACTAAGAAGGAAGCCCCATGGTTGAATTGGGGGTGAAGAGGACTTGCCTTCTTGGCCTTCTTGGATAGCCCCTCAGGACTGGGCTAAGCAGCTTTTCAACTGCTGGGAGATTGGGGGACCTCACTTAGGGGAGCTGCGAGCCACAGAAAAGTGGCCTGTCCAGGTGTCACAGTGAGTTATGGGGCAGGAGTGAGGCTAGAACCGGATCTTCTGATTCTCAGTCCTGCTGTAGTAATAATGGTGGTCAGGCCTCCTGTCATTGTAACCCTCTACTCAAACGAAATCTTAGCAGATGGGGCTGAAATTCCAGCCCTCCAAGGCTGTTTCTGAGATGCCCAGAGGAACCTCAGAAGAGCTTGTAAACTACCTTCCTGCCCATCATCACCCATTGGGAAGCTCAGGCTAAGTTTCCCTGAGTAAAGTGAAGGATGGCATCAACCTACGGGAACATTCGGGTTGCCAGAAGTTTCTGTGCCCCACTTTGATGAGAAAAGGGCGGTGGCAGCCAGGTGCAGTCCTGTTGTTGGCTCAGTGAAGACATTAGCTCGATGCCCTTCTCATCTTTGGTCTTGGGGGTGACAGCAGGGCCCCACCACCTCCTCCCTGTGTTCAGCTGGAGGCCCATAGACCCAGGCAGCAGATATCCAGCCCACCTCATTTTGCTTCGTTTGTAAGGCAAGAGTGTGGACTGTACATGTTAGAAAGATTTTTTTTTTTCCACAGAAAGTGAGACAGGTAATAGGAAAATCAATTAACCATGCTGGTGCAGTGGGAATTTTATGTAAATGCAACTTTACCTAATTTCCTGGAATCATCTTTGCCGTTCAAGTTACTTTTACTTCTCCACTGTAATAGTTTCCCTAGGGTAATAATTATCTGAAGATACTTAAGATATTTCCATTAGGTTTTGATAAGTGCCCTGATTATTTGATTTATATAATAGTTATTATGTAGTGAATCGAGCTTATATTTTACAGAACAATATATTTCTTAATCTATCCGTTGCATAGTAATTTTGACGTTTGCACGCAGCTAGCCTGATTCTAGGAAAGCCCTGCAATTTAATGTTAATTCCAGTAACTTGTTTTTCCCTACTCATAGTATGATATACAAAAATGCCTATGCAAAATTGAGGTTTTGAAAAATGGTGTCCAGATTCACATAAAGGCTGTGTCTGTTCTGAGTAGAGTGTTATGAAAAGCCATAAAGTGTAATTCAGGTTATCTAGGGCTATAAATCTCTTATATTGAAAGAAAAAGCTAGAAGGTCAAAATAAATCAAATAACATCTTTCCCCTGACTCTCTTCCTCATGAGTTTCATTTAGACTTAGACAAAATTGTTTTTTTTGGGTTCCACCCTAAGAAAATAAAGCTGTCCCCTGATTCTAACTGCCTGATAAATCTGTTGTTATTGGTCATAACCCATCTGGCTGTGGGTGCTGGTCCCAGAGTCCTGCTGCATAGACCCAGGCACTAGGAAGGAGGGAGGGCTGCATGTGCCTGAGGGGCTCTCTGTGCCAGGTGCTTTGTCAGGCGCTTTACTGCTCTCACTGCAGTCTCATCAAATGCCAGCCCTCCAAATGCCCCATGTCTGGCCACACTTGCCAACAGCTTGGGGTTCCTGGACAAGTGGGGTGGGGACTGACACAGTTATGTGGCCTGAGGTCAGACTGTGGATTGCTGCTTGGATATCTGTGTTTGTCCAAATGACTTAGAGGAATTTTAAGAGAAATCAGGACTCTAATCTTTGCAATTTAAGACACAATAGGGCCTGGGAATATATATCTCTAAAAACCTCCAGAGATGACATTTGGCATGATTAGGGTCGGGAAATACTGATGTCATTTCATTTCTTTTTTTTTCTCTCCTTTTCTTTCTCTCTCTCTTTTTTTTCCTCTCTTTTCCTTCCTTCCTTCCAGAGAGAGAAAGAGAGAGAGAGTAAGTGCAAGTGGAGGTGGGGAGGGGCAGAGGGAGAGGGAGAGAGAATCCTAAGCAGGCTTTGCACTCAGCACGGAGCCTGACTTGGGGCTTGACTTCACGACCCTGAGACCATGACCTGAGCTGAAATCAAGAGGTGTAATAAATTGTGCTTAACTGACTGAGCCACTCCAGTGCCCCTGATGTCATTTATTTCTAAAACCAATTACTGAAGAGTTTTAATGTTTTTAAGATTCAGGTATAGATTGAGACAGTCCTGACGGCCTCTCTGTGTTCTTTGCAATAACCTGCTGTGGTACCATCCCTGCAAGCCCCAGCACCCAGTGTTAAATGCAGAGTATACAACCTATGAGAATACTCAGGTCCCAAATGTTTATAAGCTTTTAGAGTTAATGATCCCTAAAGATTTAAGTTTTTTTTTTTTTTTAAATGAAAGGCTATTTTCTAAAGTTATTCCTATGAGGAAAACCAAGAGGAAATTTGCTTGGGTGTTTTTTCTGTTTATCTTGTATTTTATTACAGCTGTTGGTTAAATCGCCTGACTCATGCATTGGATGTCCATTCTTTTAGGGTAGAGGTTTTTGTCTTCATCTCTGGGTTGTAACACAGTACCTCATGTCTGAGAGGCAGTCAGTGGACATTTGCTGAGAGAGGGTATGAAAGTAGGAGAAGCTGATAAACTGTCAAGGAATTGGAAGAGCATTGTTTCTGCCCTTGCCCTGAAGCTGTACATATGACTAATGATTTTTGTTTTCTTCCAATGATAGGCAAAGGAAAATCCTCTAAAAACAAACCTTGAACTCATCACCAGATACTTTCTGGATCACTTTGGAAATCCTCCCAACAATTTCACTCAAGAAACACCAATCCCTGCACTCTCAATTCCAAAGAAAAATAACAAATTAACATCAAGGTGCTCAGAGACCATGCTGGTAAATATATATGACCTTGCAGATGAAGATTCAGGATGGAGAACATCATTGTCAGAAACAAGCAAAGCCAGGTATCTCTTACTTACACCATGGATTAGTCTCTTATCGCTGCTGTGACACATGACTATGAACTCAGTGGCTATAACAGGGTTTTCCAGAAAAGCAGAACCAATAGGATATGTGTGTGTGTGGGTATGTGAATACATGTAAATATATATACAAATAGTGTATATATACACACACACATATTAGATTGGTTTCATATATCCCATATAAGGAGATTTGTTTTGTTTTATAATTTTACTTTTTTACTTCTTAAAAAATGTTTTTTACCCTTTTTTCTTTTTTCCTAAGAAGGCTCTATGCCCAGTATGGACCCCAGTGTGGGACTTGAACTCACAACCCTGAGATCAGGACCTGAGCTAAAATCAAGAGTCGATGCTTAACCAACTGAGCCACCCAGGGGCCCCAATTATAAAGACATTTATTTTAAGGAATTGGCTCACCTCACATGATTGTGGGAGCTGGAAAGTCTGAAATCTGTAGGGCAGACTGGCATGCTGGAAGCTCAGGAAGTATTCTGTGTTACAGCCTTGAGGCAGAATTCTCTGGGAAACCTCAATTTGCTCTTAAGACCTTTAACTGATTGGTTGAGGGCCACCCGTGTTATCTAGGGTGATCCTCTTTGCTTAAAGTCAACTGACTGTAAATATTAGTCATAAGAAAATACCCTCAGGGAAGCATCTAGGCTAATGTTTGACCAAACAACAAGGCAAATAGCCTAGCAAAGTTGACATGTAAAATGTCACCATCACCGTGTCTTAAAGCAACACAAATTTATTATCTTCCAGTTCTGAGGTCAGAGGTTCAAAATTGGTCTCACCGGGTTAATGGCAAAGTGTCAGTAGGGCTTGTTCTTTCTAGAGACTTTTGTGGGGAGAATTGGTTTCCTTTCCTTTTTTGGCTTCTAGTGGCCACCTACATTCCCTGGCTTGTGGCTGCTTCCTCTGTCTTCAGAGCACATCACTCCAGCCTCTGTTTCTGCCATGGCATCTCCTACACCTGACTCTGACCTCCTGCCTCTCTCTAAACAAGCAACCTTGTGACTCTAATGGGCCCTCCCAGACAATTGAGGATAATCTTCCCATCTCAAAACCTTAACACATGTGCAAAGTCTTTTTTCCACAGAAGATAACAGTCACAGGTTCTGGGATCAGGCCATCTGTAGGGGTCATTATTCAGCCTCCGCATTGTGTGCCTTCAGATTCCCTGTTGTGGAGCACTGTTACTTTCCTTGGAGGCCTTGAGGATGGAGGGGGATGCCGAGGAGGATGCTTATGATTCAAATGTTTAATGTTTGTCAGCTTCAGGGGCTTGCTGGGTTTGCATTTTCTTAAAGAAATAGGGATATAGACTTCTAAAAGCAACTTAATGCTGTAGAGATGAAAACATCTGAAAAAATAAGGCCTTTTAGAACTCTTAGGAAGGAAATTAATTGCCATTCTTGACTGAACCTCCAGTATTGGAAAGCACTGATATTAAATTACAACCTTAATATGCTGTCTGTAGTCACTAGCGAGTCTAACTCCCTGGGGCTGGATGTTTCCTTCTGGCTCTGCTGAGAAGCATTTTCTTTCCCAAGGGTAGCTGAGGGGTAGGGTCTGGCCAAAGGACAAGGACCACTGAAAACATTAACTCAAGGCTTAAGACGTGAAAGTGAGTCAGAGTAGTTTGGAAGAAGATGGTTCTTCCTTCAGAGGCGCTTACTGCCTGGCTGGGAAAATAAATATTTCTGAGGTGATAAAGAACTAGCGGAAGTGGGGGCTTCCGAGTTCCACCCAGTTATCCAAGCCACAAACTTGGGTATTATTCTACTCTATCATTTTTGTCTCTGTGAGACCTTAATGATATTAGACTCTTGCCTGCTTTCTCTGCCCTGACAGCAGTGCCTTAGTTCACACCTCCTCTCTTGCCTGGGCTAACTCCTATAGACTCTTCCTTGGTTTCCAGGCCTCTGGTGATCTGCTCAAATCCCCCTTCCACCTAAGATAGTGTGAGCTTCCCACGAACAAGCCTGGCCATGCTGCTTCTCTGTGGAACGGCCTTCAGATGCTTCCCATGGCTTCCAGGATGAAAACCAAACTCCTAAGGGTAACTTGCAAAAACTCTTTCCGTGATCAGCCTGTATGGCTCACCTTGGCCTGGCCTGCTCTTACAGGCCTTTGTGCTAATGCCTGGGGCATTCTGGTTATCTCCTGCGTGCTCATTCCTTCACACTCAGGGCTGGCTTCTCTGTAAGTCTTTGGTTTACCCAAGCTGGTTCTGGAACCTTCCTTTGCTGGATATGCCCCTGTCATAGCACACACATGACTGCTTCTCTCACGCGTGACCTAATGCTTGGTAGTCAGCAGCTTGGGATAGAGCAGGAGTCAATGCCCCTTTAGGCCAGAGTCCAATGGTAGAAAACATGCCAGCCTGTGTCACAGGAGTGCTGGGCTGTGGCTGATCCATCACAGATCATAGGTAAGAGTACTCTTGAGCTGGGCCTCTTGCACTGTCTCTTTCTCTTTCTTATCTTTCCTCCTTGTTTGCCTCAGCATCTCATCTTCTTTTGTTCTATCTCTCTCTTTCCCCTGTATACACACACACACACACACACACACACACACACACACACACACACACAATCTATCTCTCTCACTCTGTTTCAGTGCCAAGCAGCCCAATAAGAGAAGCCGTTGGCATGCCCAACTCAACTGAACTTGAACTGAATAGTTGGAGAACACAAAGTTTGCCACATGTCTCCATCTGTTGATCTCACTGATGTGCAGTAAGGCTGGGCTTCACGTAGCTCATGACTCTCTTGGAGGGCTGTGATTTTCTGTAATCACTCAGGTCTGGAACAAGGATGCCCTTTATATTTGAGGACACAAAACGTTCAGGGATATTTGAGGAATCCTATCATAGGTCATCAATTCTGATTTTGTTTGTTTCCTGGTCTCATTTTGTAGGTCAGACTTGCCCTGGTGTGAAAGTATTTTCTATTCTTTACCTTTAATGATAAAGCACTAGCGGGTTAGAATCATCACAGATGTATGAAGGGGCTTGCTCTGAGTTGAATGTGGGACTTATTATTGTTGTTAGCTATTGGGGAATCTGTTTAATGGAGAAACCCCTTTTTTGCAGGCACGACAATCTTGATGGGGATTTGCTTGGTAATTTTGTATCCTCGAAAAGGCCCCCACACAAAAGTAAGCCTATGCAAGTTATCCCAGGTGAAAGCCCTGCTGTGGCCCCTGCATGGGAGAAGATGGACAAGCTTCCGTCGTCAGAGTCTTCCTTGGACACCAAGAGGGTGGGCGAGAAGATCAGGTCCAAGTCTGGCCTGATTGTCCGAGGCATGATGGCCGGTCCTATCGCCAGTTCCCCGCAGGTAGAGTTGCTGCTCTCAATGCTATAATGGGAGTGGAAAGTGAGAACCAGGCAGGGCTTAAGGGGTTGCCTGGGTTTATTTGAGGGCACCCCACAAGATAGATCTGTGTGTTGGGATGGGAGGGACACCTGCCTGTTTTACCTCTGGTGGTACTGTTAAATCCTTGTGGGATCATGGGCAGGCCTTATCACCTTCCCTGACCTCAGTTTACCCCTCAGGTCAACAAAATGGATGCCATGGCTTTATCTTCCTCGGCTGAGTGAGAACACATCTACCAGTTTTACCTCTGCCATTCAGAAGTCAGGGGCAAGCCATCCAAGTCTAGAGAACATCTTTTTTATTATTTTTTAAATCTTTTTTTTTTTTTATTTTTTAGAACATAATACTAAAAGGGAAGAGGAAATCCCAATCCTTATGGTTTCATTTGCTTTGCTTTAAAAAGAAATTCTGATACTTTCATATCATTGTTTTATATCTTTCCTTAAGGAGGGACTCTGGTGGGAGTGTCCCATTAGGTGGGGAGACTCAACCAAATGAGAGAATGAATGTAATAGGAGTTTGTAAAACAACAAAGAAACAGGAAAACAAAGGAAAATCAAACACCAAACTCATAGGGCAGTATTAGTCCCATGAGGGAGCCTGAGCAAACCCGCACAGATCTCGCCTGTCTACTACGGCTGGTCACCTCCTCTCCCACGCTGTATGGCTAGATGTGGGCTGTGGCTCGAGAGGCTGGTGTTCTTCTCCCAATTCACCTGGAATCAGGACAGAAAGAAGCTGACTGTCTCCTTGCCTCTGCCTATATATCGTGGGGGTTTTGGTAGTTTGGAAAATACGGGTTAAGTTATCTGAATTACTGAGATCTTCTGAATGTTGACATTTCATTATTAAAAATTAACCCACATCAAAAAAAAAAATCCCATGTTTTGATGTCACCACCCAACTAATCAGAAAAGATTTTAAGTGCTGAGAAGCCATCCAATCACAGCGGCTGATGCAAGTTTCCCCAGATATTAATTTTTACCTGACGACTTGTATTTTATCATGGACAGAAGACATCAGTCGTTTCCCTTGAAGTGACAGGCTCCTCTTATTATCAAGGAAATGCCTGCTGAATACCCAAGTCTGAATAACCACAATTAATCTGTCAGTTGTTCCACGGAAGAAACTAGCAAGTTCAATTCACAAATCAGATGGTTGTGCAAGTGCTTTTCCTTGAGACAACTGTCATCCTCTGCATCTGGCAGTGTTTATATATACCTCCTATTTTGTCATATGGAATATTAAAGAGATGGGTACCATAGGGTTGAGATTGAATATAATTAATACTTTATATGCTTCAGCATGGACATTTTTAAAAAAGATTTTATTTATTTATTTATTTATTTGAGAGAGAGGCAGAGCCTTAGCAGGGGGAAGGGCAGAGAGAAGGAGAGAATCTCCAACCTGTGTGGAGCCGACCTCACAACCCAGAGATTATGACCTGGGCTGAAATCAAGAGTCGGGTGCTTAGCCGACTGAGCCACCCAGGCTGCCCCAGCATGGACATTCTTAGATGAAATTAGCATTTTACTTATTTATTTTTGTTGCAAGTGGTGGCAGATACCTCCAGCACTTGATTTGTGCTATGGGCCAGCAGTTTTTCCCACCAGTTTATGTGCATCATTACTGCAAACGTCAACATGATGAAAAAGGCAAATCGTGTCATATTATTATTATGAAAATAGATTTGAGCTCCCTAAAAGGATTTGGGGACCTCTAAGGCCGGGGGATCACACTTTGAGAACTGGTGGATCAGATGAATGCTAAGGTCCTGTCCTACAGTGACATCCAATCCGTGTAGTTGAGACCCTCTTCACAATTAAGGTGTGAAGATTTAGAGCAATATTATCTAGGAGATTGTCCCAAACTTCTAAAAGGAGGAATAATTGCTTTGGGAGGTGTGTTTTTCCCTTGAGGATATCCGAATCCTGTGAAGGGCATTGAAAGATAGGATAGGTTCTTGTAGAATTTCCCCAGGTTTTCTGGAAAGTGTTTTGTGGGTCTTTGAGTACCTTGGCCATACTTGGTTGCTCAAGAGAATAAAAGCAAGCTTTGCTAGTTTTTTTTTTTCCCCCTACTAGATCAGCTCTGCCCTTACAAAGGATGAGTAAGAGGCTGGGTTCCCTGCCTTGGGCCAGAAGTTTGGGTCTACTTGGGAATGGTGACTAATATTTTCTTCACTGTGTGGCAAGGGAGGCCCTGGTGGCTTTTGGAGGTTTGTAGTGCCTCGTAATTTCCACTAGGCAAGAATACTACAGAATTAGCTGTTTCTATTCCAGTTCAGCCTTTCCCATTTGGTTCTGGATTATTTCTGGAAATGCTAAGAGATCCCAAATTTTAAACCCTGGAAAAGCCTAGCAGGTCTATTCTTGTCTTCTTTACCTCTACTCCCTGACGCTAAGTTGGTAAACACTTTGACTTCCCATTTTATCAGTTAATCATTGATAGCAAGAGAGGACATTTCAATTGACTTTTCTGGAATTCCTTCATTTCAAACATTAAGCAAGCCTTGAGTGCTTACTAGGAAGAAATTACTGAGCTGGGAGTTCGGTGGACACCAGAGATGAATGAAGAATGGCTTCTGCCATTCTTGGTCTGTTTCACAGGAGGATTGAGGCCCTGTGTGAGTGGGGACTGGAGAGAAGCTGTAGAGCAGTGGCTGATATTTGTTGACTGCCCTGATTGGTCTGGCTCTGTGCCAATGTCTTCCATGGGGATCCCCTTTAATACCTCAATCCTGTACAAGATAGGTGCTATAGGTCCCCAACCCTTCACCTGACCTTTGGGCCAAATATGTTTTGGAATTCAGAATTTTATTTTCAGAAAAGAAACACCATGCACAAGCCATATACCACCTACCACCTGCAGTAGGGTTTGGGGTAGCATCCCATAAGCAAAAACGTTAACATTTCTACAACTAAAGATAGGAATATTCACACTTATAAAAGGAGTGTAAGCAACCTCATAGCAGTTAAAAAGAATTTGCCACAGAACTCCAAAAGAAACTTGTTTTAACATGAGAGACACCTAACTCTGGGAAACGAACAAGGGGTAGTGGAAACGTAGGTGGGTGGGGGGTTGGGGTGACTGGGTGACGGGCACTGAGCGGGGCACTTGGCGGGATGAGCACTGGGTGTTATACTATATGTTGGCAAATTGAACTCCAATAAATATATATATATATATGAAAAAAAAGGAACTTGTTTTAAGAGGTTTTAGAAATGGCAGATAGTAGATTGTGGGCTGCTTATATTACAGAGGAGGGCAACTGAAGCAGAGAAACTAATAACTTGGCCCAGGGGATATGGCTGGTAGGTGGTGATGTAGGAATTTGAATGGAGGCCTGGCCCTGGAGCTACAGGTCCACTGCTCCTGGAGCAGAGCACGCTGTCTGTAAGGGCTGCGGGACAAGGGCTGAGGCAGGCGCCTGGGGCTTATGCAGGTGGAGCACAGTGAAAGCAGCTCAGATCTGGTGGCCCAGGAGGACCTCCTCAGACAATAGGTAGGATGTTCAGAAGAGCTGAGGGATGGATGGGGGAAGATGTTCCTGGGGGAGTGGACATCATGAGCACATGCCTGTTGGGGGGATAGAGTTTTTTCCCACCTCCTTGAAGGGGATCCTTACTGGGCTTTTGCTTGGCCCTTTCAGGATTCCGTCCGCAGACGCTCCCTGAAGCGGTCCCCGGCCTTGAGCAGCAGGACCCAGGCCCCCGACTCCGAGAGCCGGAAAGTGCCCGAGCTCTCTGCCCATGCCCCAGCCTGTCCCACCACCCAGGACGGCCTGGCTTCCAGCCCTGGCTCCCCTCTCGGTGAGCTGACTGCAGAAAAGCAGAGAACCACACCTGGCAGCCCCCACCACTTGTCCTGCAAAGGGCTGCTGCGGAGGGGGAGCGGCAGATGGCAAGAGCTTGAGGAAGATGGCCCAGCTGTGGACAGTGGCCCAGAGGCCAACAGGACGCCGTTGAAATTCTCCTTGCCAGATGGAAGTGCCAGGATGACCCAGGAGAGGCTGGAAAGAACATTCACAAGGCAGGAGAGCCAGCCCCTGCCCCTCAGGTGAGCATGCTGTGCTGAGGCCATGGCTTTCTTAAAGATCCGCCCAGTCCTCCGTGGCTCCTTGGGCTCTCAGAGTGAGCCTCTGAAGTGGACAAGGTGGGTATGGCCTCTCCACCAGGGAGCAAGCAGCCCAGAGTGCACCCAAGGGGGGAACTTCGGGGTAGGTTTCCTTGGTCCTTTTTTCTCCTCAAAGTCAAGAAAGCTTTAGCAGACGGTTCCCATGGTTTCCAGGCTGACCCATAGCAATGTGGCCAGGCCATGGCGTGCAAGAAGTGTTTCCTGGGGAGGCCCCAGAGGTGGCAATGCAGCAGCGCCCACAGGCCCCTTCTGGGGCATCTCTTTTTTTTTTACTGCATCCCTCTTTATTCCCTTTATTCCTTTACAGTTGACCTTGATCAATCTTACATTGACTGATTTTTAAATGTTAAACCAACCTTACATTCCTGGAATCAATCTTACTTGGGTATGATATATTATCTTTTTATATATTGTTTGATTCAGTTAATATTTTTACGTAAGGGTTTGTACGTAAATACAATTTGGAATTGTCTCTAAATTTGTGAAGGTGATGGGCTGGCAAATTTCTTGCAACAGCCTCATGAGATTCTGGTATCTAGGACATGCTAGCAGGGGTAGTCCTTCTTTCTCTTCTCTTGACTAGTGAGGTACTTAGGTGCTGGTGGTACATGGCAAGCTAAGTAGATACAGTCTGTGAACTCCGTTCGTGACCCTAGGGAAGCTGGGCCTACTCTGCTCAGCACATTTTGTGGCTAGGTTATCTGATGCATATACACGTAGAATTTTTCTGTCTTCGGGATGGATAGATTTTTTCTATCGTTGTGAAATCTGTCTTCATCTCTAGTAATGCTTACTGCCTTCACGTCTGTTTAGGTAGAGTGACCTCAGCCTTCCTTTGATTCTAGTGTATCTGGGGGTTATCTGTTTTCATCTTTTTACTCTCATCCATTCCATAGCCTTCTACTTAGGGGTTCCAGCCAAAGGCCTGTGGGGTTTGCCAGGATCCTTCTTTCTTTTTAAAAATTTATAATTTATTAAAGCTGAAAAAATCCATATATACATGTACACAAAATCCCATCTCATCCATTTCTCCCTCAGTCGTCTTGTATAATACCTTTTACAGCTACAGATTTCCCTCTGAGCAATGCTTTGTATCCCGTGAAACTGTATGTTATGTATTCATATGATTTAATTTAAATATTTTCTAATTCTCATTGTGATGTCTTCTTTTGCCCCATGGGTTATTTAGACATGTTATTGACCAGAGCAAACATCTGGGGTGCTTTTCTGTCTTCTGCTTTTGATTCCAGGCTTATTTTCCCTTCATCCATAAACATTCTGTATGATTTCAATCTTTTGATATTTGTTGATATTTCTTTACAGTCCACTATATATTTCCTATCAGATAATTTTTATTTTAGTTGGAATAATTATTGCATTTATATTTTCTTTTTGTGTTTGTCAGGATGAAAAGTCCACCTCTGTTTTTCTCCATAGAGTGAGACAGTTTTCCCAGCACCATCCACAATCTGTTCTTCAACCCAGTGGTTTTTGAAGCCACCTTTATTCTTTCCTAGGTTCCCATTTTGACATGGGTCTGTCTTTGAGCTCTCTATTGTGTTGATTGTCTTTTGTCCTTTTAAAAAACTGAAACCACATAATCACAGCTTTTGTTACTATGGTTTTGTAGTTATAGCTTAGTGTCTTGGTAGGGCCAGTCCCCCTTCTTTTCCTTTGTTTTAGCATTAATGTAGTTACTTATGGCTCTTCACTCTTTCTACAGGCCCTTTTTCCTATTACCAACATTTGTAGCTTATTCCCACAAGAGGGAGAACTGGCTTGTTCCCTTGATGTAAAAGGCCCGGCTTCCAAATCATCTTGTGACTGTCTCTTTCTTGTCTCTCAGATGTTCTGGACTCAGTGATTTTCTCTGACCAACTTCACCTCCGCCCCCACATCTCCAGCCTGTTTTGTTGTCCTCACAGCACCTATCATTACCTGAGATCATTTTACTTATCCATTGTTTGTCTCCCTCACAATAGAAAATAAATTTCATGAGAACAGGGACTTTAGGGACGTCTGGGTGGCTCAGTGGTTTAGCGCCACCTTTAGCTCAGGGCGTGATCCTGGGGTCCCGGGATCAAGTCCCACATCAGGCTCCCTGCATGGAGCCTGCCTGTCCCTCTGCCTGTGTCTCTGCTTCTCCCCCTCTCTCTGTGTCTCTCATGAATAAATAAATAAAATCTTAAATAAAAAAAAAAAAAGAGAGAACAGGGACCTTTATATTCCCTGCCCCTATACTAGTATTTGGTACACAGAAGGCACTCAATGAATATTCAATACTATTACTACTACCACCCACAGCAATAACAAGATCAATAAACTTCTGATATTGACCTACTTTGTGAAAGATACTGTTCTAAGTGTTTTAGGTAAATTCACTCTTTTACTTCTCATAAAGTTCTATGAGGGGTATACTATTATACTTCCCATTTTACAGATGAGGAAACTCACTCAGAGAAGGTCTTTTACTTGTCCACATTTTATATACCTAGTAAGAGGCAGAACAGGGATATGAACCCAGGCAGTGAGCTCCAGAGTCTGGTGAATACATGAATGAATGGTTTCGCCTCTCTTCCTGAATAGAAGTCCTTTCCATGGCCTTTAGGTGGTGACTGGTGTCCGCTTGCACACCCCCAGTGATGGGGAACTCCCTGCAGCGCTTCTGCATGATTCTGACTGCTAGAAAAGTCTTCCTCACATGGAGTTAAAATCTGCCTGCTGTCGTTTGACTCAGCAGACCTTGTTTTGCCCTCCAGTGCCATGCCTGTGTGCGCTGAGAACAGTGCCTCAAACCTAACGGAGTGGAAGCATTCTCAGGGGGAGAAATAGGAGTGGCTGGTGTATCAGGAGCCCTGGGTTCTAGCCCTCCCTTGGCCTGGCTGACCTGGGCCAGTCATTTGTTTCTGACTTCATTGTCTCTGACTATAAAACGTGGCCCCTGGGTAAATGGTTTCCGGGTTTTCCGCTGGCTTGTGCATTTTGCTGGCCTATGATTCTTCCGGAGTTATTCTGGGCCTTCTGCTTCAATTGTCAGATATTTATTGAGGACCTACTGGTTACAGTGCACTTAGGAGGTATGGCACATGGGCTCTGGAATTGCATGGATTCCAGGCTGGATTCCAGGCTGTACTGGCAAAACAGTTCTGCCCCTGAGAACCCCTGTGGCCTTGGACTGGTTATCAAACCCTTGAAAGATGGTATGAACTTTGTCTTACAGGAAGCAGGTAAAAGTGTATTCACAGCCCCTCCCCCTAATACCAAGTGAAGTATATAATTAGGGGTATTTAACCCATGTTTAGTAGTGTTGACCCTTACACTGATCTGTCAGCATACATTTTGGGGGCTTTGTTGTTTGCCTACCACTTACCGTCTATTTGCTGGTCACTCTGCTAGGTACTTCTATATATTGGCCCATTTGCTCTTTCTAATAATCCACTGAGATGAATATTATTATTTTTTTTCCTTTTGTGTTCTTGTTAAAAAGTATTCTTCTCCTGAGTTCTGAACAAATTGACAAATCAAACAAAGGGTATCCAGGTAGACCTGGATATTGTAGGTAGACCTCATATTGTTTCCGTGATTGACAAGGGGAAGAGAGAAGACACAGCAAATCATAATCATGAGGCCTGATGGGCCCGGCACTAGACTGACTTCCTCACCTCGTGTCAGGCCCAGCGCAGGTCAGCTCACACGGCCATATGGTGGGAAGGGCCACCCCAGGAAAGCAGCTCCCTCTCAGGAGTGAAAGGGTACAACTGAGCTTCATGCCCTCTCTTTCTTTCTTTCAGTCAGATAAGTCACGCTTCCTCCCTCGGGATGCAGTGCATAGAGGGGAGGAGAGTAAAGGTCTACAGGCGGGTAGACTAGTAGAGCTCCCTCCAAACTCCCAGAAGACACTGGGAGCTGAGAATGAGGATCTTGCCAGCACTTATTATCCCTATGTTACAGATGAGAAAACTAAGGCCAGAGAATTTAAGGAAACTGTCAAAGTTCTGGGTGGAAGTAGGTCCCAGGGCTCATAGTTTGGTGGATGGAATATGGGTTGGCTTTCAGCTGTCTCTTGTCCCCTCAGCTAGGCATCTTTGTGCAGTGCACATACTACATAACTGTATGCAGCACCTTTGATTTAAAACCAGGGCCAGAGTAATCTCCCTGCCCTTCCCAACCTCCCCACCATCAGTCCTGCCCACCCGCATCCCCCTCCCCATTTATGTCATTCAATTCTGTAAAGGTGGATGTGAGTCCTAGTATGTATCAGATCCTGTGAGCTCTTCAAGGTGGAGAGACGTGTGCATGTGTAGTCATTTTAAAGCGTGACAAAGGACAGTGAGGCAATAGCAGTGTAGAACTGTCCCAGCACTCAGACCTAACAGGGGTGAGGGAAGGTGACTACTTTGAGCCTTTTCTGGGCCTTGCAACATTGGGCTCAGAGGTGGCCCTGGAAGTCACAGCCAAGGGCAGAGGCAGGAGGAGGTGGTATGCTCCAGGCTGACGTTGCCCTAGAATTCAAGCCTAGGATGGAGGCTCAGTTGCATGTAATTACTGGGGGTGCTCTTAGGAGAAAGGCAGTGGGGGAAGCAGGACAGGGCAGGGGAAGGTCTCAGCCAGGATGTGGGGCCTCAGTCTGATCCCACAGGGAGATGAGAGTATGACTTGACCCACAGCTGTCCCCACCATTAAGCTAGGAGAGAGCTTTTTACCCCTTGTCAGTCATTGACTCAGGGTTGCCCATCCTGGGATGGGGTGGGCAGTGTGCCACCTCCTGGGTGAATTTGGTGGAGGGGATTCCGTGGAGAGGGACACAGCTGTGAGCCGTTAGTAGCCAACATGGACAGCAGCTGAGATGGGCATGCTGAGGCCAGGGGACCTGGGTGGGGCACCAGGGTCTTCTCTGTCATTCTTGTGGCTCCTTGTATACT